CCGCACGGGTTTTGCCGCCTCTTCTGCTGCCACCTGCCGATCCTGGAGAGGTGACCCCCTCCGCCCGATCGCGAAAATCTTTTTTTTTTCTTCAGAAAACATTTTTTTGGGCGCGAGCGGTACAAATGTTTGAAAATCCGGAGAAGTTTGGTTGATTTTTTTAGGGTGGGGAGAGTGAAGGGTGGGGGTGGGGGGAGGAAGAAGGATATGTAGGTGAAAAAATAGGGGAGAGGGCAACGTGGAAGAGATGATGGCGGGTGGATGCGCTTTGCCAACGCCCCCAAAAAACGAACGAGGTCGATAGATTTTTTTAACGGATATATAACGTAGGCTCAGTTTGAACTCCATTGGTTAACGGGTTTGAAAGTCTTTCAGGAGAGTTCAGTGTTTTTTTTGGGGGGCGGGGGGAGGATGGGGAGTGAAGTCTTTGTCGGTGGGAAGATGGGGGAATTTCGGGGTGAACAGTGTGCGAGGCGGAGGGGTAATCGTGAATGAACGGAGAAAAATTGGTGAACGAGTTAAGTAATCGTGGAGCGACCTAGATTTTCTGTGCTTTTTCACTCTTTATTGGGGAAAAAGTGCGAGACGAATAGTGAATTTTTGTCCTTTGGCCCGGGAAAGTTTATTGAACGCGAGGGTAATTTGTGTCGAAACTGGAAAATTCACCCTGCATTCCATCAAAAATTACCCCAGAGAACGTGAATGATTGCTCAATATTGTGGATAATTTTCCTGTGACGGAGAATGATTTTTTAACGAACGCGTTCGGTAAAATTTCACTTCCTTTCGTCCTCATGACCTTCTAATTTTTTGCATCAAAAAAGAAATTATTAGGGATCATTCAATCCAAATGAACCAAAATTACATCGTACCCGAGTCGAAAAATTCGGTCGCTTTTGACCTGGAAATTGCATACGGCGGCGAAAAATCGATCATCTTGGACGGCTCCGTGAGAATAGGTGAATCGGCCAAATACCGATCAAATAAATTTACTGTTCGTCGAATTTAATGAAATACTTAAAATTGTGAATAACGATTTTCTAAGATGTAAAATTATGAAAAATTCGGCAACTTTTGGAAATAAAAACTGCAGTTTGTGCCATTCCAGAATTCCTAAAAATTCCAGTTTACAATCTCAAAGTATACGCACACAGAAAAACCTCTAGGCGTAAATGACGTCTTTTTCAATTTAGTTCTGCGTAATTTACGAAAAAACATCGTATTTTCCGCTTGGAACAACTGTTTTTTCTTCGTCGTTAATTATGGACAAGTAATCGTGAACTACGAAAAAAATCATCGTAATTTACGAATACGAAATCGTAAATTACATTTGTGTAATAGTAATTTACCACGATTTTGAGTGTACAATTTACGCTTCGACTTCAAGCGTATAAAATATCCTTGAGAAAGCGTAAAAGACAACTTCTTAAACGTAATTTACGTTTAGGTGCATCTGTGTGCGACTAGATCTCCTCTATTTAGAATTCACAAATCGATAATTTGTTTGTTTATAAATGAATTGTTTTTCACTTTTTCTAATTTTCGGTCAAAATCCGGCCAAATGAGGGCTAAAAGCCTCCAGACCAACTTATTTTTCTTCAATGTTGGAAATTTTTCGAAATTTCATGGAAACTGTGGTAGTAATTCTCATGGGAGTGACATTGAATTTCGATCATTCGAGCAGAAAATCAATGGAATATTTGATTTTTCAATGACGAGATTTCTTGAAATTTCAGTGCAAATTAAACATGATAAAAATTTCCGGGATCTGACACGGAAAATTCAGACGAAAATTGTTAACAGCGTTGTAAACTAATATCGAGATCGATTTAGCTAAAGTCCTATCCAAAGTTCTATTCAACAATATCCTGTGACGTCCCAAGATGTGGAACGCCATATAAACTCCCCTCTTCTGCGAAAAACCCTCTGAGTTATACCCAAGTAGAAAATCTAACCCAAGTGGAAAAAACTGACCAAGTCACTAAGCTAACCTAGACAAAATTTCCCACGACAGCTAGTTATCATATTATATTATATTTCTCTCATACAATATCTACCCAAATATAAAAAATAATTTTTTCGCTCCGATATCACCCAATCCAAGGGATTACACGGAAAAAAAATCGCCAAGGGTTGCACCCTCGCCCAAAACAATCCCCCCTCGAGTGCCCAAGGGCAGGGGATGGCTCCGGAACAGTGGTCCCTGATTTGTAAAATAGCCCTCATCCTCTTTCAACTTTCTTCATCGCTCTTTTCCTCTCCTCCCCTTCTCAGTTTCTTCCGAGGGGCCGTTACATGCACGAGAGAGCGTCACGCCAGCTGACAGTAAATTAATGTTCTTATTTACAGGTCGTCTGTCCCCACCCCCTACCTCGGACAACGGAGACCAAGCGTCTTATCGATCGTAAACGCCCCCCAAACTCGACTGATTAAGGGGTTTATAGACTTCACGTGCCTTAAACGAGAAATCCAAAACGGCAGATGTTTGATTTTTAACGTGAACACCTGATTATCATCACTCGTCTTACTACGAATGGTATTTCACTACTTCCTGCTGCACAATCAGTCCAAATATCCGTATAATTACCAAGTGATTAGGTGAATGAGGGAAGTGATGGTATCAATGGATTCAACTTTTCGGAAATTTAAAGAGGGATCGGAGAAAACTAATGCATTTATTCAGTTCTGAATTAATTGCTAACTATAATAGACTCTCGAGGCAGAGAATTCTGTTGCAAAAATTGGAAATATACTCAGATCTGCCTCAGCTATCTCCAATCTCGGGCTGTTTGTGACGTTTGATCATCCCGATTCACTTACAACTGGCGAGACCTTCAACAATCGAAGAACAATCGTCTGAATGCTTATCGCATTCCATTGCTTCTTATCAATAATCTTTGGTTCAAATATGCGTGTAATTACAGGAAGTAAAGCAATGCGCTTACGCACTCGAAATCTACGGTACCCACGACCTTCAACACGATTGTATAGTACTATTATTATTATTTACTATTAGTTCATTATTATTTTTATTCCCTCACATTCCCGCCGATTCCCTCCCCCATTATCCCAAGCTCCTCGCTAGACATCACCTTCCCTCCCCCAACGACACGAAACCCCCAAAACAACGGGCAAAAATCGCCGCTCACCCAAAGCACAAAAAATCACCAGCCACATGAGAAACGAATGAATGGAAATCCACGTGTCCTCCTTCAATCAAATCCACGTGCCGTCTCCATTCGTAGGTATACATACGGCGTCGAATTCTCATCCTCACACGTAGACAACACATGGCGGATCCCTCCAATCCCCCAACACACTCACCGTGCGACGGCGAACGGTAAAACCTCCCGGTGTCGGCACACACCAAAGTTGTAGGAGTCGGCAGGATGTGGGTC